TTTTTAAAAAAAAAAAAAAAAAAAAAAAACAGAATTATTGATTTTTAAAAACCAAATTCCTACAAAAACCGGAAATTTCGTTTCTTTCAATTAAGCCGAACTTGGTTATGTAGAACTTAATTCTCAAGAATCAGAGATTCTTTTCTTTTTTAACAAAACGTGTTTAATTGTATCATTATCACGTTAATTCAATGAATCTTTTCTCTCTATCTGTATCTAACTGTAATCTCTAGTAAACGTATTGATATCAACGAGGCGTTTTAGCTCCATTCTAATATTTGACTTTAAGCTATGGAGCCATTCGGCGAAGATGTTTATTCAGCGCGATCCCCTAATTGTTTCTAGTAGCGTGTAACATTGTACCTTTAAAGCCATTCTGGATTTAGTCCTGCACCTGTGGTGTCTCGGAGTGAAAGATATAGTTTTACGCTCCGATATTGTGCGAAATAGAGCATTGCAGAATTTATTAAGATAAATACAAACTGCAGAAAACTGCAGAATTTTTTAAGATAAATACAAATATTTTCAGTGTAAAAGTCAGAGATCACAAACCGAAACGCGAGCCAGACCTAAATCGAATTGAATTCGAATGGTGTCGCGACTAAAAATAAATCGCATCTTCAGTTTCTTTCTCTGTCGAATATCGCTCCGTGAACCCAGCTGGGCTGTCGATAGCTACGCTCCTGCGAGCACATCGGCAGTATTGTTTATCGGCCGGCGCGTTTTTCCATCCGTTGACGCGTTTATACGAGGTACGACCCCAAGCGCACACGCAGTCCGGAATTTCGCGGCATTATTGCCAGGCATACACGACGACGTCGATCGTAAATCGTGGCCGAGGGAGTCCTGAAGCACCTGATACTAACATGGTCTCGAAATCCCATAAGACGATCCCGGTCTCTTCTCGCGAGAGCGAAGTTCTCTCGTCGGCATCGCTTTCGATTGCCTCGCCCTCAGTCACTCAAAGGTAACGCGCCCACACGATCCGCTTTAATTGGCTCTTGTAAAGCGTCGCGGTTGCTACTCGGAGATCCCATGTTCGCTCTCTTTCTTACTCTCTGCCTCCTCTCTCTGTCTCTCTTTCTTTCCCGTCGAAATACCAGCTCACGTAATTGTCCAATCGACATTTCGCGGAAAATGTACCTCTCCATCGCGCAGATGGAGTACAAGTTCAGTATATTCTTCACTGAAGTACTGTATTCACAACTGGTGGTTTAATTATAAGTGTAGCACTATAATCAGCAAAATCTCGCTGAAAAGATCAGTTAATAATAGCCACTGTTCCCGTTTTTAGTGCAATTTACGAGCACAGTGTCATTGCAAAGTACATGAATGTCTTTAATTCCATCGCCGCAAACGCAGAAAATTAAATTCGTAAATGCGTTGACTTTCATTCTGTAGGAACTTCTATCTTCTAAGAAGAACATTTTACGATCCCCTTGCTTATTGTTTCCCACAATAAGTACATAAACAAAACATGTGACCCGCATGACTCTCATGAGTCGACTTGACCCGGTCTTCCCTACTTGTTTCAAGTATTTCCATAAACTTATATATTTGCAGATTTATTATTTTAGAAAAAGAAACAACGCAGTGTTTTAAAAGAACATTTTATAGACGCTTTTTATTAAAAACGTGATTCTATTTTATTTAGACGTCTCACGGAGAAAAATGATTTGCTGGCCCAGCAAATTTTCTGCTGGTCTAGCAAAATCTTTTCGTTATTATATGGCATTATATAGCAAAAAGATTTGCTAAGAGTACTAATTACTATTTTCTGAATATAATTTGCTGAATCTACAAATTATTTTGTTATAAAAACTATGATGGATTTATATAAGCAGTTGCAGTTTTGTTCCGATAGCAAATAAATTTGCTAAGGATACATTATTTTGCGTCAATAGCAAATTAACCCTTTAAGTATCACTGGTACCAATACGGACCACTTAGGATCGGGCAATTGAAACCTTATAAATGTGCTATTTAAAGTGTTTTTGACAATATTTTATTTAAAAAAAGTTATTAGAATGTTCCAGGAATTATGCATCTCTTAAGGGGATGCTGGAGTCGATGACGAAATCGAACAATGTCGATAATGCAAAGACGATCGTCACTAACATAATCACACTATTCTTTCGGTATTTCTTGTATATACAGAACTTACATGAATGTATATTGCTTTGTTTTACTATATTCAACGTAAAACCTAACCATACATGTGTAGAAATCTTTCTGCAAACTTTTTCGATATTCTTAAACTTCCAAGTGTAGATGCGAAGGTAGAGCAATGTTCTTCAAAATTTTTTTGTTTGAAGCATTCACACTTTCGGTATATACAAGCTGCGGAACTTTTAGATTAGGCAAATATTACCCTGACATCTTGAGATTTTACATTTAAAATTTTTTTTTTCGTTTTTGTCACATATCGAGCAATGCTTCTATTTATTTTTGCACATACTTTCATTGCATAAAAGCATTTGTAATTCTGTGTAACCAATACGACGTAAACTTTGTAAAAAAATGTCAGTGTTGTGTCGGTAAAGTTTTCAGCTTCAGCATTCCCCTAAGCGAGTCGATGTCAATGAGAAGTGCAATAGACGCCGCGATAAACACCGATTATGTGTCGAAAATCAAAGAGAGGATTTTTTAATAACATACTCACGATATATCCCTACGATCGCATATCGCTATTTCGGCACTCCCGATGCTTATTTCCGCGCCCGGCTCACTTTCGATAGAAAAAAGATGCATAGCGATGCGGAGCGATGTTGATCGTGATGTGTCAGGTGAGGCTGCTCGTCGCGAAAAGATCGATGTCCAAGATGGTCGCGCAATCAACGACGCAGTGCCGAAATTGCGCGCCAAAACGTGAACGACGTCGCGGTTCGACAAGGACGCGCTCTAGTAGCTACGCCTCTCTCACTCTCGCTGACGGACCGACCGCGCGAGATCCGACGTCGCGTATATCTCTAGCGTCGTTTTGTCTTTCTGTTTTCCTCAGATTATCATCGCGATTCTAACTCCTCGTTAATAAATCCGACGATCGTCCGATTCTGCTATTACTTGAGCGAGTCGATATTAATGAGAAGTGCAATAGACGTTGTGACAAGCACCGGCTGTGTGTATCAAAAAACAAAGAGATTGCTTTCTAATAATGTACTCACGATACATCCCGACGATCGCATATCGCTATTTCGGCACTCCCGATGCTTATTTCCGCGCCCGGCTCACTTTCGATAGAAAAAAGATGCATAGCGATGCGGAGCGATGTTGATCGTGATGTGTCAGGTGAGGCTGCTCGTCGCGAAAAGATCGATGTCCAAGATGGTCGCGCAATCAACGACGCAGTGCCGAAATTGCGCGCCAAAACGTGAACGACGTCGCGGTTCGACAAGGACGCGCTCTAGTAGCTACGCCTCTCTCACTCTCGCTGACGGACCGACCGCGCGAGATCCGACGTCGCGTATATCTCTAGCGTCGTTTTGTCTTTCTGTTTTCCTCAGATTATCATCACGATTCTAACTCCTCGTTAATAAATCCGACGATCGTCCGATTCTGCTATTACTTGAGCGAGTCGATATTAATGAGAAGTGCAATAGACGCTGTGACAAGCACCGGCTGTGTGTATCAAAAAACAAAGAGATTGCTTTCTAATAATGTACTCACGATACATCCCGACGATCGCATATCGCTATTTCGGCACTCCCGATATTTATTTCCGCGCCAGGCTCATTTTCGATAGATAAAAGATGCGTAGGACGCGGAGCAATGTCGATCGCGATGTGTCAATGGAGGCTGCCATCATGAAAAGATCGATATACAAAACAGCCGCGCAATCGACGTTGCAAAGTGCCGAAAGTATGCGGCGTATACGGTGGCGCGCTCGTACGCCGCCCTCCCGCTGATGTCTCACCACTCGATGGATCAATAGTTACTAGAACTTCTCGATCAAAGTCGCATTTGTATCTAGTTGTGCATTGCTTACGACTGTTGATTCATCCAGGAAGCGAGAATATGTGGTTTAATTCGACAGTAAGGTCAGAGACATACAAAAAACTTAAGCAGTAAGATATAAGCAATTAACAAATTGATCAGTCATAATCGATGATTCTTCTTATGATCCAGGGATCAGCAACCATGATTGGTCAATTTGCTTACCGCTTACGTCCTACTGTTTAAATTTTTCTATGTATTCTCCGCCTTATCATCGAATTAATGTTGCAATTCTAAGTAGAATCGTAAGTCTCGTAACTTGTTCTCGTAAAATTCGTCAGAACTTATGAGTAGATTTACAAGTCTA